CTCTCCCTCCCCCCCCACCACCATCACTACGCTCGCGCTCGACGCATATCCATGATAACATGTTAATATAGTGAAGTCATTAAAGTTACACAGCTGTATCTTTATTACTGTACTACCGGTATAGCAAAGCCTATCATAGATTTTAAATCTGTATTAGTAGTATCCTAGATATATGCTCTGAGCGCGAACGCGGTGGCGGGAGGGCGCACTTGATTCGGTTGCCAGTGAGTTTATCAGAAGAATACCCGGCTACATTACGCGTCATGTCGGAGCGCTGTCGCTTTGCGGCACTTGGTTGACTAATTGTGTGGATATTTCTTTAAGCCAAATCAAGATTTCTCATGCCAAATGTATTCCATCTTGCAAACATAATGGGCGTGGGGGTTGTGATTGTCCAACTGCTAAACCAGTAAACAGTAAGTAATTCACTTTTGTAGTCGCATGTTTTCCATTTCGTATGAAAATTACGAAGTGCGTTGAGCGATCTCGTGCTATTCTAGGTGGGGACAAGTGTTCATCCTTGATTTTCTCGCTAACTACAACCCGAAGGACGACCGTGAGGCGCAAAGCATCTGCGAGCGTGTCACGCCACGTCTGGCACACGCCAATGCTGCAGTGGTGCTCTCTGCTGTCAAAGTGAGTAAGCAATAGTGCAAACAGTCAACGATAGTGTAACAAAATACAGCAACAGTACAATGTTATACTAAATGCTAATATTGAAGTGTTTAGTTGCTAACAAGGTGATAATAATAATATAACGATGGAGATGGTGATGGTGATAATAATATAATAATAACAATCATGATGATGATGATGATGATGATGATGATAATATACTTATTATACAGATGTAACGATGTACTCATTTCCACGCAGGTTTGCATGAAGCTGATGGAGATGATGGTGTCAGATTCCGACTACTGTTCCACGCTAACGAAGAAGCTGGCTCCTCCTCTGGTCACCCTCCTCTCGTCGGAGCCGGAGGTTCAGTACGTCGCACTCAGGAACATAAACCTGATTGTCCAGAAGAGGTGAGAGTCAGCGTTAGGGTCATTGTCCGACGACGTGACGCGTGACTGGTAAGGTCGGCATGAGGACAGTGAATGAGACAAAGGTGTTCTTTACCCTTGAGATTTAATTGGTGAAAAAATCTTCAGAATCGTGCCAATAGAGGGCGCTGTATATACTCGCGTTATCTTTGTGCTAGGTTGGACATTCTCAAGCGCGAGATGAACGTGTTATTTGTCCTTTACATTTTAATTAGTAAAAAAATCTTCAGAATCATGCCAATAGAAGGCGCTGTATTTAGTCGCATTGTCTTTGCGCTAGGCCGGACATTCTGAAGCACGAGATGAAGGTGTTCTTCGTCAAGTACAACGATCCGATCTACGTGAAGCTGGAGAAGCTGGACATCATGATTCGGCTCGCGACGCAGGCGAACATCGCACAGGTTCTCGCTGAGCTGAAGGAGTGAGTATGCTGCCTACCAGCCGTCGCGTCCCCGCGGCCGATCTCAGATAGAACAACGCGAATGAGACGCAGCTTGGCACGCTGTCATATAATTATTGTTATTAACATTAATTATGAACTTATTGTAATGTAATTATTAACTTCGTTTAGTACCCAGTAATGCCTAAAAACTCCAAATGAATTACAATAAAACCGTTGAACTATGCACTGTTTATGAGGACTAGAACGGGCACGCAAAGCGAATAACACAGGTGATAGCAACAGATGAACTGTAACAAAGACCCGGGTTGACATGACCAATATACCCCCCCCCCCCGCCTCCCGCAAACGAAACAGTATTGATGATTATCGGTGGTTCGCAGGTATGCGATCATATATCACTAACTCGTCGCTCACTCGCTCGCAGGTATGCGATCATATATCACTAACTCGTCGCTCACTCGCTGGCAGGTATGCGATCATATATCACTAACTCGTCGCTCACTCGCTCGCAGGTATGCGACAGAGGTGGACGTGGACTTTGTGCGCAAGTCGGTGCGAGCGATCGGACGCTGCGCGATCAAGGTGGAGCAGTCGGCCGAGCGCTGCGTCTCTACCCTGCTCGACCTCATACAGACGAAGGTCAACTACGTCGTGCAGGAGGCCGTCGTCGTGATCAAGGTAGGCCGAGCTGCCGCGATGTCAGCCCCACGCGCGCTGCCGCGTCTACCCCGTGCCCCGCCCGCTGCGCCGCATCAGCCCCAAGCGCTGCCTCGTTTACCCCGTGCCCCGCCGCCGCGCCGCATCAGCCCCACACGCCCGGCTACCGCGCCTGCCCCGCATGCCGCAGCCGCATCAGCCCGCGTCTTGCATGTGCCGTGGATCCCCCGTGAGCTGTGGGATGCGTCGGAGTAGTGGCGACGGTCGTTGTCGTTGTTTAACCAACCGGTTGATTATCGCGTAGCCCTGCGACCTAGTATGACATTGTGTTACTAAGTCACTGGTGATGCAGCGAGTGTGAAAGAATTTCTTTGGGTTTTGATTACGGTAAAGCGGAAATCGTTCAACGGTGGCCTCGTGTGTAATTTTAGCTGCATAGCTTTACGAATTTAGTGCGAACGTAAAGAAGAGAGTATTTGCATAAAGCTCTAGTCTATCTCTAATCATAGCAGGTCGTTGATCGCAGTACCCCGGCAGCAACCACGCGCCGTATAACGTACGTGTGTCCGTTGTACGTGTTCGCAGGACATATTCCGGAAGTATCCGAACAAGTACGAGAGCATCATCTCTACGCTGTGTGAGAACCTGGACACCCTGGATGAGCCGGAAGCGAGGTACACAGTCGCTCGTCACCGCTGAACCCCATTTCTCCCCCACTAACATGCCCTGACATGTGGTAACAAATACCCATATATTTATTGAAATAATGTTAAGAGAAAGAAGAATGTTAATTAATCATAAGGAGAATGATAAATAAGCATAAGGAGAATGATAAATAATCATAAAGAGAATGATAAATAATCATAAGGAGAATGATAAATAAGCATAAGGAGAATGATAAATAAGCATAAGGAGAATGATAAATAATCATAACGAGAATGATAAATAAGCATGAGAATAAATAATAAAATCTCGGGGGAAAAAAACGACGAGCAAAAACAGCGTCTGACCGCGCTCGGTTGCCGCGGTTACAGGGCGTCGATGATCTGGATCATCGGGGAGTATGCTGAGCGCATCGACAACGCTGACGAGCTGCTAGAGAGCTTCCTCGACGCGTTCCACGATGAGAACACTCAGGTGCAGCTAGCTCTGCTCACAGCCATCGTCAAGCTGTTCCTGAAGCGCCCGACCGAGACACAGGAGCTAGTGCAGCAAGTGCTCAGCCTAGCCACGCAGGTGGGTGGGGGTGGTGGGTGTGGGTGGTGGCGGGGGGGGGTTGAGTTGAAGGGGTGGGGGGTTGATGGGTATTTTGCCTAAACTAATGTGGCAATTCCCCCTCTCTCTCTCTTAGCTAAAACACCGTACTACAGTAGCAAATCATCTACATGATAATGTGTAACACGGAGGCTTGGACTGTCTTTATGGGATGCATATTCACTGCGCTACACCGCGTGGGTTCAACAAGCTCATCACTCGATGCCGTTGAGCTGTGATTCAGAGATGAACACGTACCCTAATGATCTACGTAATGACCGTCTGTGTCTGAATCTTATCTGAACCCTCTGCACTTGCAGATCAGGAGGAGGTGCAGAGGATGAGAAGCTCGACTCTCCCCCACTGCCGCAGCCCACCTCCGTCATTCCATCTCAGGATTCTCTCATCGGTGACCTTCTCAGCTTGGACATGGGACCGACGCAGCCCACGCAGCCGGCCCCCAGCTCTCAGGGTCAGGCCGTACAGAGCACAGCTTCCATGGATCTCCTCGGTGGTGGTTTCGACTACCTGGTAGGTGGCCCTGAACGCGTCACACCACTTGTTGTAATGCAGTGATGGCATGTCATGGTTTCTGACGTTGCGCTATGCATGTACAGGGGGTTAAGGAAGCCAGGCCGGTACTATAGTGGTAGCTGTGATGTAAGTAACTATGATTAAGCAGGAATTGAAGTGTGTGTGTGTGTGTGTGTGTGTGCGTGCGTGCGTGCGTGCGTGTATGAGCATGCGTGCGTATGTGCGTGGATGCATGGTTGCATGTATGAGGGCCCCGCCCTGCAGCACACATGCGAGCATTTGTGTATAAGTGTATACGGGCATGTGTATGTGTTCACACGTGTGCGTTAACACATGATTGGCACTTGCGCTCAAGTCTGACGGTTTCTGCCCGCAGTGTCAGCCTCCGCCCTCGTGCACTTACACACCTTCCTCCACCTATCCCTGCAAGGTCCTGCCAGTGGCGCCACTTCTCCTCCGTCGACTCGGTAAGTCCACAACATTGTCTCAACCCCGGTTTTCATGTCGTGTCCGATCCCTCGCTTCGTGGCTGCTAGAGGCGAGACTAAATGCCTACTCCTATCCGAAAATCCAACGCGTATTCTAATGATGGCAAGCTCTCGTGTGTAACGTGCCTGTAACTGGTGAATGTCTGTCCGTATAGAGCAGCTATATATATATATAGCATCATAGATCTATGTTGCTACTCTTCACGCCAAGCCGGTCTGCTAATGAGAAATTATGGCCACATTCATCTATGTCCTGTGTGTGTGTGCGTGCGTGCCTGTTTCTGTCAGTAAGGAATGGTGTGTGCATGCGTGCGTGCGTGTTTCCCTCAGTAAGGAGTGGTTTGGAACTGTGTGGTGTTTCCCTCAGTAAGGAGTGGTTTGTAACTGTGTGGTGTTTGCATCAGTAAGGAGTGGTTTGTAACTGTGTGGTGTTTGCATCAGTAAGGAGTGGTTTGTAACTGTGTGGTGTTTGCATCAGTAAGGAGTGGTTTGTAACTGGTGGTGTTTGCATCAGTAAGGAGTGGTTTGTAACTGTGTGGTGTTTGCATCAGTAAGGAGTGGTTTGTAACTGTGTGGTGTTTGCATCAGTAAGGTGTGGTTTGTAACTGTGTGGTGTTTGCATCAGTAAGAGTGGTTTGTAAACTGTGTGGTGTTTGCATCAGTAAGGAGTGGTTTGTAACTGTGTGGTGTTTGCATCAGTAAGGTGTGGTTTGTAACTGTGTGGTGTTTGCATCAGTAAGGAGTGGCTTGTAACTGTGGTGGTTTGCATCAGTAAGGAGTGGTTTGTAACTGTGTAGTGTTTGCATCAGTAAGGAGTGGTTTTGTAACTGTGTGGTGTTTGCATCAGTAAGGAGTGGTTTGTAACTGTGTGGTGTTTGGCATCAGTAAGGAGTGTTTGTAACTGTGTGGTGTTTGCATCAGTAAGGAGTGGCTTGTAACTGTGTGGTGTTTGCATCAGTAAGGAGTGGTTGTAACTGTGTGTGTTTGCATCAGTAAGGAGTGTGTTTGTAACTGTGTGGTGTTTGCATCAGTAGAGTGGTTTGTAACTGTGTGGAGTGTTTGATCAGTAAGGAGTGGCTTGTAACTGTGTGGTGTTTGCATCAGTAAGGAGTGGTTTGTAACTGTGTGGTGTTTGCATCAGTAAGGAGTGGCTTGTAACTGTGTGGTGTTTGCATCAGTAAGGAGGTTGGTGTAACTGTGTGATGTTTGCATCAGTAAGGTGTGGGTTGTAACTTGTGTGTTGCATCAGTAGGAGTGGTTTGTAACTGTGTGGTGTGCATCAGTAAGGAGTGGTTTGTAACGTGTGGTGTTTGCATCAGTAAGAGTGGTTTGTAACTGTGTGGGTTTGCATCAGTAAGAATGGTTGTAACTGTTGGTGTTGGCATCAGTAGGAGTGGTTTGAATGTGTGGTGTTGCATCAGTAGAAGTGGTTTGTACTGTGTGGTGTTTGCATCAGTGTAACGTTGGAATGATGGTTGATGTCGAAATGATGTAGAAACAGATCCAAACTTGTGTGGTAAACTGTACAACTTTTAATACTCATACACTGTGTAGCCACCTCATCAGACAATCACACAAACAGACAAAGAACGCCGCACACGCGCATCCGCGCATGTGCTCAGCTCCGCGCCCAGCACCCGCAATCTCCAATCCCGTCCTATTACATCTCTCCCTATATATTCGCCCAAAACTCCCTACATCTTGAGCGCACATGTCACCCGTTCTGTCCGTTCCAAACCGTTCCCTCATTTCACAATCATCCTAGAAACTGCCTAACCTAGAACGCGCTTATCCAACTCCCTGTAACATCAATGCCGCCGCCCAATATGCGCGACGTTCTGTCTAGCTAGACTATATGGCTAAACAACTACCAGTCTATCTCCACTCGACTAATCCATGTAACGCGTATAAAATAGACGTTACATTATCTCCCTTTTCCCCAAAACGATGACACCCTGTCATCGCTTCAGCGTCCTCGCTGCTCTACACTTAACGTGACCTAACCAATCAAAAAAAATATTACTACCCTAATATCGTCCTAACTCAACCCAACGAGAGAAACGTCTTTCTGTCCGATTAAATCACCCACAATCAATACACATAACAACAATCAAAAATACAATAAGAGATCACATATGAAGTGTAGAAAACAAGTAACGATAAAAGTCTACCACAATAGAATCAGAAACTCAACACATTGGCAGTAAACATTTTGATATCGCTGCAATTACTATCACTCTTGCGTATTTTTATGACTGTAACGTACGTGGCGTATGCGTATACCGATACGCATTACCGAAACCACGTTATAACTGCGATTATATCATCATAATCCCAGGGCACACAGAGGGGCCATGCACACAGGCATTAATAACCACGGCACTGATGTGGTACTTTGTCACTTCCACACATCATACGCGCCAACAAAATCAGCATATATCATCCATCATACATCATAAATCATATACAGCCAACAAAATACGCAAAACTGATTTCATATTTTCGATGAAATGTTTTTGGCCTATAATCAAACTCTAATTGAAGAATGTGTTTAGCGGTCTAACAATATAGTGGAAACGTACCGTCACTGGTTAGCACAAATTCAAGAAACGATCACAAATTTCTAAACAAAGTTTCACAACAAAGATTTTCCACACAAAAAAAAACGGTTAGAAGCATATATCATGAAGAAAATACCGCGTTCATAAAACAACCATAAACCTACATACATACAATGTCAGGTAGGCTTGTGAAACACCTGTGTCGGCGTTCCTTATTCAAAGTTCATTCCGCTCCGCAAGTATATACCCATCGACATAACATAACATGCACCTTTTGAACTAAAACACGTATGAGGGATAAAAAAAAACGTATGGTGCATGCTTGCATGGTGTATACAGGAAAAACCCTCGAGTATTAACGTTTATAACTAACGTTTTCACTTTAATTACGAAATAAATGCCGACACAAGATGTTCACATACCAATTTTAAGTATTTCCGTCTCGTTCATCTCTCGCGTTCTTGTTCTTTTCGTGTAACTGCATCCTTCTCTTCCTTCGTTGGAATCTATTCTTCCTTTCTCGTCCTTCTCCTCTCCGTTGATAAGCCTTGACGACGCGGCGTCAGCAACAGTCCTCTTTGTCCACGATCTCCAGCCGATCCTCGTCGTCATCGTCGTCGGCGCTAGCGCAGTCTGCATGGCTCCCATCTCATCACCAGAACTCGCTCCTTCCGTCCCTCTCTCGCTCTCTCGCTCTCCGTCATTCTTTCTCTGTTTCGTTGCTGGCCCGTAGATCGATATGAATTAAGTAACTTGCGTTGTGTCCGCAAAAGGATACCTAGTTTTGCTGGTCATGAGCACCAAAATGTAACGTTGGAATGATGGTTGATGTCAAAATGATGTAGAAACAGATCCAAACTTGTGTGGTAAACTGTACAATCTTTAATATCTTAGACACATCACATCTCTTTACACACAGACAAAGACGCCGCACACGCGCATCGCGCATGTGCTCAGCTCCGCCCAGCACCCGATCTCCAATCCCGCGTCCTATTACATCTCTCCCTATATAATTCCCAAAACCCCTACATCTGAGCGCACATGTCACCCGTTCTGTCCGTTCCAACCGTCCCCTCATTTCACAATCACCTTAGAAAACTGCCTAACCTAGGACGCGCTTATCCAACTCCCTGTAACATCAATGCGCCGCCCAATATGCGCGACGTTCTGTCTAGGCTAGACTATATGGCTAAAACAACTACGCATCTATCCCACTCGACTCATCCATGTAACGCGTATAAAATAGACGTTACATCAGTAAGGAGTGGCTTGTAACTGTGTGGTGTTTGCATCAGTAAGGAGTGGTTTGTAACTGCGTGGTGTTTGCATCAGTAAGGAGTGGTTTGTAACTGTGTGGTGTTTGCATCAGTAAGGAGTGGATTGTAACTGTGTGGTGTTTGCATCAGTAAGGAGTGGTTTGTAACTGTGTGGTGTTTGCATCAGTAAGGTGTGGTTTGTAACTGTGTGGTGTTTGCATCAGTAAGGAGTGGTTTGTAAACTGTGTGGTGTTTGCATCAGTAAGAGAGTGGCTTGTAACTGTGTGGTGTTTGCATCAGTAAGGAGTGGTTTGTAAGCTGTGTGGTGTTTGCATCAGTAAGGAGTGGTTTGTAACTGTGTGGTGTTTTGCATCAGTAGGAGTGGTTTGTAACTGTGTGGTGTTTGCATCAGTAAGGAGTGCTTGTAACTGTGGTGTTTGCATCAGTAAGGAGTGGTTTGTAACTGTGTGGTGTTTGCATCGTAAGGAGTGGTTTGTAACTGTGTGATGTTTGCCATCAGTAAGGAATGGTTTGTAACTGTGTGGTGTTTGCATCAGTAAGAGTGGTTTGTAACTGTGTGGTGTTTGCATCAGTAAGGAGTGGTTTGTAACTGTTGGTGTGTTGCATCAGTAAGGAGTGGCTTGTAACTGTGTGGTGTTTGCATCAGTAAGGAGTGGTTTGTAACTGTGTGGTGTTTGCATCAGTAAGGAGTGGTTTGTAACTGTGTGGTGTTTGCATCAGTAAGGATGGCTTGTAACTGTGTGGTGTTTGCATCAGTAAGGAGTGGTTTGTAACTGTGGGGTGTTTGCATCAGTAAGGAGTGGTTTGTAACTGTGTGGTTTTGCGATCAGTAAGGAGTGGTTTGTAACTGTGTGGTGTTTGCATCAGTAAAGAGTGGCTTGTAACTGTGTGGTGTTTGCATCAGTAAGGAGTGGTTTGTAACTGTGTAGTGTTTGCATCAGTAAGGAGTGTTTGTAACTGTGTGGTGTTTGCATCAGTAAGGAGTGGTTTGTAACTGTGTGGTGTTTGCATCAGTAAAGAGTGGCTTGTAACTGTGTGGTGTTTGCATCAGTAAGGGTGGTTTGTAACTGTGTAGTGTTTGCATCAGTAAGGAGTGGTTTGTAACTGTGTGGTGTTTGCATCAGTAAGGAGTGGTTTGTAACTGTGTGGTGTTTGCGTCGTTTCAGCTGGGACCAAGCGAATCGCCCGTGCCGCAGCAGCAGCAGGCATTTGGCGGAGACGCCGGTCTGCTGGGTGACATCTTTGGTGTTGGACCAGGATCGGGCGCGTCAGCCGGCTTCTATGTGCCACCCAAACAGGTACGACCTCTTGCGTGTACAGCCATGACTATAGCAGCCCGCCCCCCACGACGCACACTCCAGCGAAGAAGTTGTACATTAGTTAGTAGAGGTTGACCACGAATGTTTGCTTGTATAGCTAAACAGGTGTTAGTAGTTGCTTATATAGCTAAACAGGTGTTAGTAGTTGCTTATATAGCTA